AAGTTTTCGGAATTACCGACCGGAGGACGGATATATGCGGCTTGAGGAGGGTGGCGATGTGGTCGGTTCCGACATTCCAGCGACGGGTCGACGACGACTATCAGGTTCGGTGGTCCGGAAGTTTCGGACTTCCCGTTGTTCGGAGCGGTCTTCGGGTCGGGCCGGAGAACCTTATCAGACGGGGAGGTCCACTCCAGCCGGGTGCTGTCGATCCCCAAAGATTTAGGAGTGATTGTCCTGAGTTGAAGAGGAGGACCGGAGTCTCGCCTCATATCCTGTGGGTGTAAGGGACGCAACAACAATATTAAAGACACATTTACTAACCAGGGAGAATAGCCTACATCATTTCACAAAAGATGTACATGGTGGCGTGAAACCGGGTGGTTTTTTAGGAAAATTTACGACAGAATATTATTTGGACCTACACATTAACTCCCAGGGTTAAGCTGTGATTACTGAAGTAGTAAAAGTTAATAAATCTTGTTTGGAGTGGTGTTGGTTGCGGGGAACTTTTCAAATATTGTTTATTTTGTGTAACTAAGGGTGCGAGCTATTATTTTTTTTTTTGTGTCACCTGTTTTTAATATTAACTATTAGTTTATTCATTTAGAAAAAGACGAAAAAAGAAAGAAGGGGAAAGAAGAAGAAAGAGAAAAGTTTAGGTAGTCGTACCGGCACACAATTATGCTTAACAGATGTCTAGGGAGATTCTCATGTTGAGACGACGAAAACGCTACAATTCATTCGGATTCGTATCGTCATTCTGCGGATTTGCCCAGCAATTTGGAATTATGACGCGAGACGTCCCAAAACCAACACGACTGAGCCTCCTCCCCTCCTCTCTAGTCGTGTGTCGTTTGGCGTCTCGCTCATTATTTCCGAATTTGTGGTCAATCCGCAAGACGGTATTAATAGAAGTTTAATTACGTTTTTCTCGGTTCTTCAACATGGAATCCTCTAGACATCTGTCAAGCAGTAATTGTACCGACGACCTATCTACTTAACTTTTGAGGTTTGTTCTCACCTGACTTCGCCCTTTATAGAGAAAAATAAATAACGTAAAATTGTTATAGAGATAAATTCAAGATGAATGACTAGCTTAAATGAATAACAATATAAATTTAAAAAACAGTGACACCAAAAATAAAATATGATTCGCAGCCTTAGGTTACAAAATAACCAAATACATTTGAAAGTTCCCGCAACCACACCACCTCCCACAACCAGATTTATACTTTTACCTACTTCTAGTAACCACACGTTTAACGACTGGGAGGTTTATTTAGCGTCCAAATAAAATTGCGCTCGGGGATTTTAAAACCAATTCTGAACCGAATTGGAAGCCAGTGTATTGAGGGCAGAATTGGGGTGATGTGGTCACGCTTTTTGTGGCCAGTCAGAAGACGTGCAGCTGCGTTTTGGACTAGCTGCAGGCGTTTAATTGAGGCCTGGTCCATACCCACATAGAGCGTTGCAATAGTCCAGTCTTGAGGTAACAAAGACCCTTATGATTGTTCTTCAATAAAAAACATTGAAAAAAGAAAAGGGCAGAGTTTGAGCTCCTTTGCAAAGTTAAGAAAAGTCTGTCTTTGCTGCAGATAAGAAAAGTAACTATCTAGCCTGATGAGAAACCTCTAATAGGAAAATCAGATCCTCTAGTCTTGTTTTCCGAGTATAAAAGCAAAGTGGAATCAGAAAGGAGAGAATGCAGAGTTATCATCATTTCAAACCTCTCTCTCCACGAGGATGTTTATGTCAGACGAGCTCCTGCAGCCACTTAGAGGTGCTGTTGAATCATTTACATTCTGCTGATTCCCAGTCGTGCTCAGGCTGTGTTTGAGTGTTACATTTCAACAATTGCTCGACTGGGATTTACCCGCATCCTACTGCTACCTGAGACAGAGCACAGATTTTGCCATTTGCTGGCCACTTTGATTTAGTAAAAAGGTCCTGAGTGATCCTGCTTTCATCTCATGTCTATTTTCAAATGAGAAAATTGAGAATCATCCTACCCCTCCGCTCTGTGTCATTATGTCAAATAAAAAACTAGTGGACCCTGTGTCGTTTCAAATGGCCTTTTAGTTCTTACATAAGTGCTTCGATAGTCTATGTTTCTAGGTCATCAAATACAGCCATTATACCAGTGTGAGCAGGCCTGACTCTGAGAGACCTATCAGCTACAGTCTGCTTCAACAACATGCAGGTAGTCTCTCACACACCTCTCATTCTTTCCTCTGTCTATACTTGCTCTCCTGCCTCTCTTTCTGACACCTCTCCTCTCATTAGACCCAGCACACACACACACACACAGTACAGAGAGCTGCTGCAGAGAGCTTCTACATATATCTTGTTGTCAAAAATATGCCAGAAAAAGACAAGGATAAGAAAACCAACAGCAGTTTCTTTCCCTTTCTAACAAGCATTGTCTGTGCAGTCAAAGCCTGATATAGCTTATTTGTTTGCGCCATAGATCTCCATTGTTGTCCAAACATGACAAGTGAGCCACATCGTGCCTTCATTACATGAACGTCAACATGGTCCCTGTGGTTATTTTTGAATCAATCACAGATACACGGTCCTACTGGTATGCGCCAAATGTTTATTAATCTACGGCTAAAAAATCAATTCGTAATAAATGCATTATTTACATTTGTTTGAATAAATGTTGGAACAATCAGCAGTGCCCAGCTAGGGAAATCAAAAAGTATTGAGAGCAGGAATAACACATGTATAGTTCTGGTCTTTTCATGGGATATATGTTGATAGTAAGTCAAACATTTCCCCAGCCACATCCATTGAATAAGGCTGTATTCAAAATGCAAATAACCTGATGTTTGAACAGATTCAGGGG